ATTCCCCAAACTTATGAAAATTAGTTTATTTGCTAACATGGAAAGTTAAAATTCATACTGCCTGAAAATAGCAGTTATTTTAAGATACAACCATGGAATTCTAGTTCACATGTGTTTATGTATAGTTACTCTATGAGACAAAGCTGATCTCATCAGAACTAAGCAGGGATAGGCTCGACTAGTACTTGGATGCAGGCTATACATTAGACTGGGAGGAGACAATACTACATGAAGATATCAGTGAAAAGAGCATTGTCTTACCTGAACGCCTTTTCTCAGCATGATGACGTAGCATCCACCAATGGGTTATCATAGCCTTCCTGCTCAGTTGAGACTAAGCAAAACTTTAGCCACGTCTCCTCTGGGCGGTTCCTCCCCAGTTCTTGATGAGGCGAAGCATACCTGACAAGGTCAACGCAATGGCTCCTCACAAAACTACACCTGCCTAGATTGTTGCAAAAGGGCGGGTGTGGATGCTACGTCATCATGCTGAGAAAAGGCGTTCAGGTAAGACAACGCTCTTTTCTCCAATCATGATGACCGTAGCATCCACCAATGGGACATACCAAAGCTACGTGTCCCCAGGGAGGGAAATCTAGGCATGTGTGTCCCGAGAAGAAACTACCTGTTGCAAAACCCTCCTGCCAAATGAAGCAGCCGCAGCCGCGAACTTGTAATGCTTGATGAAAGATGAGGGAGAGGACCAAGTCACAGCCCTACAGATCTCCTCCACGGAAGCCTGGGTAGACCAAGCCGCTGGCGTGGCCACGCTACGTGTGGAATGCGCAGTAATGCGTGCGGGAACCGCTAGAGACTGCGACCCATAGGCGTGAGCAATGCATGCCCGAATCCATCTCCCAATGGTGGAAGATGAAACCTTCTGTCCCATAGAAGAGGGCTGAAAGGAGACAAATAGAGCTTCCGATTTGCAGAAAACTGCTCTCCTCTTAATATAACAACGCAGAGCCCTGCGTACATCCAAGGTATGCCAACTGTTCTCCAGACGATGAGAAGGGTTGGGACAGAAGTCCGGAAGAATCAAATCTTGGGACCTGTGGAACCAGGTGTTCACTTTCGGAATGAAAGAGGGATCCAAACGAAGGACCACTCTGTCCTCCAAAAACAAACACAAGTCACTCCTGACCGACAACGCGGCCAGTTCAGAAATGTGCCTGGCCGAAGTGACAGCCACCAGAAAGGCAACCTTCAGTGAAAGGAACCTGAGGGAGCAAGACCGGATGGGCTCAAACGGCAATCCCGTGATGGCTTGCAACACCAGAGGTAGGTCCCAAGAGGGAAAACGGTGTACCCTAGGAGGTGCAGTGTATAGGGCCCCCTTTAAAAAGGCCAGAACAGCAGGATGCTGTGATAAGGGAACCAGGTTGTCGCATGCGAGGACAGTAGATAAGGCTGCAATCTGTCTGCGGATGGTACTATGCGAAAGACCCTTATTTAAACCGTCCAAGAGGTAGTCCAAAATCTGAGGGATGGTGACCGTCAAAGGACGAAGATTCCGCTTTTCACACCACGTGGAGAAGTTCCTCCACGTCGCATCATAAATTCTATTGGTAGAGGGTCGTCTCGAAGCCTGTATTATCGAGATGACCCCCGGCGAATAGGCCTGCCTGGTTAGACTCTCCCGCTCAAGTGCCAAATGGCTAATTGGAGCCACTGGGGTTCCGGATGTTGAAGTCTCCCCTGGGAGAGCGATATGCGATCCGACGGAATCTGCCACGGAGGAGAGAGTGACAAGTCCACAAGGTCGGCAAACCACGGCCGCCTCGGCCAATATGGGACCACTAAGAGTAACTCCGCCTGTTCTAAGAGAAGTTTGCGGATGGTTGCCGGTATCAGCGGCAGAGGAGGGAACGCATAAAGGAGACCCCTGGGCCACGGACTGCGAAGAGCATCCGTTCCCTCCGCCCCCGTGAGGGGAACCTCGTGAAAAACCTTGGTAACTGGGTATTCACCTGAGAGGCAAACAGATCCACTTGTGGCTCTCCGAACCTCTCTGATATGTCCCTGAACAGAACCGGGTCCAGGCGCCACTCCGAGTGGTCGACCGTGACCCTGCTCAGTGAATCTGCTTGCTGATTCACTACTCCTGATATGTGTTCTGCACTGATGGATTCCAGGTTGGACTCCGCCCACAGACCCAGATCCCAGGCCTCCAACATGAGAGACCACGACCGGGTCCCTCCCTGTCTGTTGACATGGGCCTTGGCGGCCACGTTGTCCGTCAAGATCAGCACGTGCCTGCCCGCCATGAGGGAGGAAAAGTGACGGAGTGCTAGATGGATTGCTCTGAGTTCCAGCCAGTTGATGTTGTGTGCTAAATCTGACCGGGACCATTGACCCTGCGCCATGTGCGTCTGCAGATGGGCGCCCCAGCCAAACAGGCTGGCGTCCGTAGTCAACGTGAGCCTTGTAGGAACCTTTGTCTATTGCCGGTGAGGTCCACCACGCGAGGGACAGCAGTGTGTGGAACGGAACTCTTACCTCACGTTCCGTTTCTGGAAGGGAAGGAGGAACCACTGGAGCCTCCTGGAATAGAGCCTGGCCCACGGAACAATCCCCAGGCAGGAAACCATCTTCCCCAACAACTGGGACAGCTGGACCAGCGGAACCTTCTTCTCCCTCCGTATCTTGAGGGCAAGTGCCCGTATACTGTCTTTGCGTTCCTGAGAGAGCAAAGATTGGAATCTATGAGTGCTCCCAGATGGAGAAGACGAGTTGAGGGGTTCATGTGACTCTTCTTGAAGTTCACGGAAAATCCGTGAACTTGAAGAGTATTGATTGTGAGTTGAAGATCTGATTGGGCAGAACGGAAGGAACTGGACTGGATAATTATATCGTCCAGATAGCACAACGAATAGAATGGAATAGAACCCCTTTCCCATCTGACCCGGGGGCACCGGTTCTATGGTCTCGATCTCTAATAGGTAGGAGATGGCCGTGGATACCAACTTGGCCTTGCTTGAGTTTCTTGATGTGGGGCATTGAATAAAACGGTCTGGAGGGATTGATATAAACTCGAGGGCGAGACCGTACCTTACTGTCTCCCTTACACTGGAAGTTTTTAAGAAGAGACTGGACAGCCATTTGTCCGAAATGGTATAGGGTTTCCTGCCTGAGCAGGGGGTTGGACTAGATGACCTTCAAGGTCCCTTCCAACTTTACTATTATTACTATTATTACTTATTACCCAAGAATCGTTTGTGGTGGCATCCCAAGCGTCGCTGAACAATGCTAAGCGACCGCCAATAGGAGGATCTCCATTGGCGTCACTTGGACCGCCTGTAAGGACGGCCCCCTGATCCACGAAAGGAATGCTTTGATCGGAATTGACCTCTGGGCGCCTGACCTTGGCATTCCAGCTGTCTGTCCTACTTGGGAAAGAAGGTTCTAGAACTCCTGGTCCAATCCCAGGATTGACCGGCCCGAAAGGGCTGCCTCCACTCCCATGAACCACTTGAACGAAAGGCTTGCCTGCGAAACTCCTGCTGAGGCCTTTTGTCCAGCCTCTTAGAAGGGTGAGCAAGAATCTTGCGCTTATCTTTCCCTTCTATAAGATAAGGTTCCAGAATAGGACCAAATAGTTTAGAACCACTATACTTGTCCGTTGACAAGCACCATTTGGATTTTAAATCCGCCCTCCACTGCTTCAACCACAGTAACCTGCGGGACGAAACAGTGGCCGCAATAGACCTTGCGGAGTACCTGGCAGAATGTAGAGATGCATCAGCTTCATATTCTGATGCGGCAAGCAGCTTGCCTACTGTCTGGTGTGCGCACACCTGGTCAGGGGGAATCAGGGCCTGCAATTCGCGAAGCCACATAATGGACGTCCTTGCAAAAAAGGACGAAGAGGTAGCAGCCTTTATGGCCCAAGCAGAGGCCTGATGAGCTCTGCGGAGAGAAAACTCAAACTTCTTTTCCTCCGCCTTCAGGGCTTCAGCCATATCCCCCGGAATCGTGGATGTAGAAAACAACGACGTGAGTGGGGCATCAACCGTAGGCACTTCTAGAAGGGAAGCAAAGGAGGAAGAGACATTAAAGAGTTTCTTTTCCGTGCTACTTGGAGAGGGCAGAGTAGCCAGTGATGACCACTGTTTTTCCACAGTGGTGCGGAACACCTTTGGACAAGGAATTTGTCTCTCTTCCACTACCTGTTCAGCGAACAGGGGATTAGATTCTTGTGCAGCGGAGGTAGAAGGTTGGGGCTCCTGTTCCTCCGCCAATTTGGCAGTAGCACAAGCCTTCATAAGCAAGGATTTGAATAGGGAAGGATCAAACAGGCCCGAAGTCGGATCCGGATCCGGAATAGCCTCTTCATCCTCTGATAGGGGAATGTCTGCCGTCTCCAAATCCACGGATTCCTCCTCCTCTAACTGGGAGGAAGTCTCAGATTCACCAGTTCCAGCCAACAGGACACGTCCTGTTTGTGGCAAGACAGTGGGAGGAGAAGGTGTTATCTGTGGAAGTCTATGGCCCAAAGATGAAGCCATGAACTGGTCAAAGGCATGTTGCATAAACATCTGGAACTGCTCTGACCAAGCCTCCTGTTGGCCTGAAAAACCAATGCCAGCAGCAGTGGAGGTGTACCCCGTATCAGAAGCCAGTTGTGCCATGGAAGAAAAGGATGGAGGAGGAGGAGGCGGGGGAGGAGAAGAAAAAGAGGGACCAGCCTGTTCAGTTTCCCCCTGAGGAGACCAAGCCCTGTGGGCTTCCTGAGAAGGCGCTAATTGAGACCCAAATGGGGAAGGGTCCAGTGGAGTGGGGGAAACCACTTCAACCTCGCTGGACCTGAGTCTTTGAACTCTGGAAAATTCTTTTTCTAGCGCCTGATGTCTCCTCGAGGCCTCTCGCTCAGCAGCTTTAGAGGGCTCTAAGTTTTTTGTTTTGGCCTTTTTCTTCCCCCCCGCTGTTAATTCAGAAGATCTGCGCTTTTTTTGCACAGGGGGAACCTCAGAGCCCTGCGATGACTGAGGAGTAGCACTGTCAGCCATTGTGCACTGGATATTCCGAAAAGAGATATCCAGGAAGGGGGGAAATAACACGCAGACCTGTTATCAGAGAGGGAAACGACCCGTGCCCTGACGAACCACAATGACAAAACATCCAGACAGCCTTCTAGCACTGCCTGTCCAGGCCCTGCAGGCACAGCGCCGCGAGCTAATATGAACAGGTGGATTGTAAAAATTCCCTTCAAGAAACAAAGAGAAGCAACAAGGTTTGTGATGTATAATGAGATTAAATGCAAGGTAAGGTAGTATATGTATATAAATCCCCCCCCTTGCCAATAGCTGTAATTCCTAGGGGAATAAAGCAATGACCTCCTTTAGAAGTTGAATCAAGGAACCAAAGGGTATTAATAGGAATTTTGCCAGTAAGGACAAAGAATTTCCTCTCTCAAAGCCAGAAAACACAATAAGGAAAGTTAAATAAGAAGCCTGGTCTGGAAATGGTGGCCACGCCCTCTCAGTCGCAAGACAAAATGGCGACCTTGAGACTCTGTCTCCCAAAATGGCGTCCACCAAAGAAAAACTTCCCCCAACTGAGGCAATTCCACCAGACTGCACAGGTTTGAGAAGGGATTTGGCCTAAAAAGGCCCTTTCTCCCCTTCTGCAACAATTAGGCACTTGCGGTTGGGTGCGCAGCCTTCGCTGTGATCCGGATCGTCGTCACCAGCAGCTACCTCGTGGCCATGAGGTTGGGGAAACGAGGCCACCAGTAGAATCGAGCTCCTAGGAACCTCCGATAAATTCAAGCCTCCGTTTCAGCTCCAAACAGCTGATCGGAGGCTAAATGCTCTGGTGATCCGGCGCTGCTGAAAAACAGCCTGCAAGGCTTCTGGAGACCTGCAGGCCTGCAAAAGCACAGGAGCTCAAGTGTCGAATTTGCTCCTGACCTTCTGCAATTTGGCAAATTTAGAAGCCAATCAATATGCTAAACAAATTTAGAATCAACAAAACCAATTAAACTACAAAAAATTATTCAATTCAATTAACTCAATAGCCTAACTGAGGAGCCAAAATACTTGCATTCTAACTGAGCTGAGACTAAGCAAGAACTGGGGAGGAACCGCCCAGAGGAGGCGTGGCTAAAGTTTTGCTTAGTCTCAACTGAGCAGGAAGGCTATGATAACCCATTGGTGGATGCTACGGTCATCATGATTGGAGAAACCAAAAGGAGTCATGCTCAGCTTGAAGCAGATTTCACTTTTTTTCAGTTTCAGCTAAAAGGTGAGGTAGTTTGCTGTATAGATTACAGGATTCAATACTGAGCATGTTCCATAAAACTGTTGGTTTATGTCACTAATAATCTAAAGCAGAAGTGGGCCACTATTTTTCAAGTGTTGCATTCTCTCAGAGATAGCTCCTGGGAGGCTGCACGGTGAATGGGGACACCTCCCCCCCCCAATACCCTGTTCTTTCTGAATCAATAGACTTCACAGAATAAGCAGAAGCACAAAACACAGAGGTCCAGGGGCCTGAATTAATTTCTTATGCAGAGATTTTGAAATTAATCCAAAAAGACATAAAAGATCACGAGCCACTGCAAATGCTTACACTTAGTCTAAATAAAAGGAAAATAACTTGCCTTTTCTCCACGAAGTTTTGCTTTTATTTGTTGACGTTCATTAAAGTTTAGAAGTCTAATTTGCCTCAGTCTTGCCAAGTATTCCTGAAAGACAATAAAAAGAGACCTTTCTACTTGAGGAAAGTTTCAACAATGCTGATCTTTCAAATTCCAATGAAGGAGAATCTTTCAAATTTCACAAACTAGTCATGTAACAATTCTGTTTTAGAAGGGAAGCAAATTCAGCAGACATATCATCGATGCATCATGAAATGTGATTAATAACTATTTAAAAAGATGAGATTTGATTGTGTTTTAAGAGAAAATGAATTACTTTTTTCTGGTGACAGAATTTATGTAACAAATACAAAAATTTGTCAAAGGGCTATCTCTAGTTATCTGTTCATACTAATTAAAACTCTAAAGAAGCCCTTTTTTAATTATACATCCATGCAGAAAAAAATGAGGTATCAAATGGGATTCTATGTATGCAATGAAGGCAGAAAACATGCAGGAAGCATACCTCTTCCTCCTTGTTTCTGGCTTTCCTTTCTCTTGAAGAAATGGACCTGCCTCCATAGATAGCTGTCAGGTTTTGCAGTGTGTCCTGTTCACCATTTAATGTATTAAATTCAATAATAGCTAGGGCCATCATATTATCTAGTCTTACATCAATCAACATTTGATCATTATCAATGAATAAAAAAGTTAAAGAAAAAATGCATTCTTAAACAATCACCAAATTTCTTCCATTTCTTTCTTGCTGTTTATCTTCTAGTTATTTCTTTTAAAATTGTAAACTCAATAGATATATTTGCTGAATGCTAATATTTGCTTCTCAAAAAAAAATCTCACCATAACTTATTGAAAATGTTTCAACTATAATTTCAAAATCTTTTCAGAATTCTTATTCATAACATAAATACATACCATAGCAATAGAATATTATACATAATATAATGGTAAAATTTGGAAATATTTTGAATAAAATGTACATATAATTTAATTTGGTGAAATTATCATTTTTTCTGAATTGTTCATTTAATCAGATTATTGCTTTCCGTATCATATTCATTTTTCTGATCCTGTGGTGAACCCCCTTCCCTGTTTTGTAAAAAGCAATAAAATTTTAATCTTTTGATAGCTTGATCAGGACTCAAATCTCAACAAATATTTCTTCACTCATAGATGAAATAGTATAAAAAGAATCTTCACTTCCTATCAGCAAAGATAATTAGATCATTTGGGTTTTTTTCTAAATATAAACATGAAGATAAAGTTCACAAAATTGAGCTTTTCATATCCCCTTTTAGCCCTAATAATGCATGCTTCGAAAGTATTTTTAAGAGAGAGTTCTGTGTAGTGCAGAGCAAAAATGTTGAAAACAACATAATTTACTGCTAGGGTTATCAATGAGAAAAAAGGTACAATCTTACCCAATGCAAAATTGTAGCCTTATTACAGAGAGGATTATGTTCACATGAATGCTAGCAAAAGGCATCCTACAAATATATTTTTTCTTTACTCTGTCCTACCCCAAAATGTTTTATATGTTCTTCCGCTAAATACAAAATATCTGATTTTGAAAAATTCTTCTCATGGAGGTTTTTAGAGCAGATCACCAATCTCATTGCACTCCACAGATAGCAGATGCACAACTTCAAGCTAAGCCTTAGTAAAATTGATGGCAATTCATTCCAACCTGCTAATAATGCCAGAATTTGCAAGGTGTTAGGTTGAAGGGATAAAAAGTTACCTTAAAGTAAGATAAATTATGGAAATTCAGATAATTGTGGCTAAATTATTAAAGCTGATCATTTCATTTTTCCCCACTGTACTCTAAAGACATTTGTGCATATGTAAGAGTACATATGATTGCCACCAAGTATTTCTCAGATATTTATAGTCATTTGTAACACCTACTGAAATTGACTAAAAAGAGAAAATGATATTCTTTTTTGGTTTATTACATTCCCCTCTGAAAGCTAGGCCTGACCTTCAGAGTCAGTTTAAATCTGCTAGCAATTATTATAAAACATCAATAAATGTCTATAAAGTGTAATGGATGTATTGCAGAGGAATTGTGATATTAAACAAAATGCCCTTAATGAAGGAGAAAACTAGAAGGAAAAGTTTTTGCAGTTTTTCATTTAAATACTGAACTGTAAAAAATTAAATTAAAAACTGTGAACCATCTAACCCGCTGTCCTGTTTTGTCTATTTCCATATCAGGCATTATACTGAACTACAATAAATTCAGAACAGAAAGTTGATTCATGAAGGAATCAGGAAAGGTAACAAAGATCAAATTAAAATACGGTATAGTGTAATGAAGTTTCAAATAAGATAAACAAGCGACAGACATCAATGCTTATCCTTACTTCTTTTAAATACAAAGAATGGTAGAAGATTCTGTTGCAATTCCAGGCAAATCAAAGTTCTCCATNGGAGAAGCTTACCATGATTTGTTCATATAGTAGGAAGCCATGGCTTTCACATGAACAGCCCAATAATTATATACATAATTATGTATAAAATAGTACAGCATGTTAACTAGAACAACTAGGTAATAGGTTATAGACTGCTAAAATAACATCAGCTATACAGCTGTACTTTGGAATAATCTATTTTAGGTGTGTTAAAGAAAGCCAAGATCCATATATATTGGAGGATTTCTTTTTTCTACTTTAATTTTCCATCATTCCCTTATGTTTTAGTGTATCATTTAAAAAGTGATTTAATTAAAAGGAAATTATTAGGAAAAGCAAAAATGTTTGTTTGCCCAAATTTTAAAATTAATTTACAACTCAATTTCATTAATCAGAAGTCAGGAAATTATTCTCAAGGAAGTATGTGCAGACATACATGACTGCATTTTAAAATATATGTTAGGATTTATGACTATTACTGCCATATGAACTGCAAACTACAGTCACTCCGTATTTTCTTTAAATAAAAAGGAAGATGCAAAAGATAAATAGAAATAAAATAGTTTTTGACAATAAGTAATATTAAAATACAAACAATTTTATTTATATTTCCTGGACTGTTTAACAAAGATTCTAAGATGTAATTACATTTGTCTTGACATAAAAGTAATAGATTTTAATAGATAATAAAAGATTAAGTAGATAAGAGAGTTAACAATAAAAAAGATACTTCAAATGCCTGCACAGTAGAATGCCAACGTTTCATACCATATGTCCTTCAGCGCGGGCTTTGTTTTGCATGGCTTCTCGCTTCCGTTGCCAGAATTCTTCAACTTGTTTAGCTCTTTCTGCAGCTATCCATCCTTTTTGCCTGAGTATAATATAAAGTTGAATGTATTAATACATCTTAATATATCTAAAAGTAATTGCAAACAGGAGAAGTGAGCATTATGTATGTTTGCTGCCTTGAATTACTTATAAAAGCAATAAAGACAGAATAGAATTCCAATAAACTATTTTAATATGAAATATGAAATTTAATATGAAACTGTATTTATATGAGGAATGGTTACAAATATACGGAAGGAAGTCACTGTGATTGTTAACTGGTTCCATTCAACTTGAGCTGCTTCTTGTTAAGTGCTGGTCCTCTATTTTAATTCAGTCTTCTCTGATTAGTGGTGCTGATTAACATTACTGTTGTCCTTACATTTAATATGTTATATTGCTCATTAATCTGCAGAATTTTCAGCACAAGTTGTAGCATATATGTTTAAAAAGTTATTTAGCAGTCAATTCGGATATAACAGTGATGGCGAACCTTTTAGAGACTGAATGCCCAAACTGCAACCCAAAACCCACTTATGCATCATTGAGTGCCAGGTGGGTGTGGCCCATTGGGTGGGTGTGGCCCATTGGGTGGGCGTGGCTGCGGTGGTAACGGCAAACTGGGTGGGACTAAAAAGTTCAATTGATCCATTCCAACTTTGCAAGATCTTTTTTTTTCTGCGAGAAGTTGAAATTGACTGATTGATTGAACCTTTTTTTTTTTTTTTGCACATGGCGACGGAGGCCTAAAGCGAAGGCCTAGGACTGGGGCGACGGCGCACGTGCCCACAGAGAGGGCTCTGAGTGCCGCCTCCGGCACCTGTGCCATAGGTTCGCCACCACTGGGATATAAGAATATTCCCAAACTATTTTCAGCCTACCACTGAAACATTTGACGTATGGTTTTACCATTATAAGTAGGAGGGAAAAAGAGAAAAATGCCCTAGTGTTATCATGGCCTTCAAAACGAAGAAAACAAGGAATAATTAAATATTTCCTAATATTTTCTTTTAAAATGATATATAAACTACAGATAGTCCTTGACTTACAACAGTTCATTTAGTGACTGTTCAAAGTTACAACAGCACTGAAAAAAGTGACTTATGGCCATTTTTCACATTTATGACTGTTGCAGCATTCCCATGGTCATGTGATTTACATTTGGATGCTTGACAACTGATTCACATTTATGACGGTTGCAGTGTCCCAGGGTCATGTGATCACCTTTTGCAACCTTCCGATAAGCAAAGTCAATGGGGAAATGATATTCACTTAACAACCGTATTACTAATTTAACAACTGCAGTGATTCACTTAACAAATGTGGCAAGAAAAGTCGTAAAATAGGTCAAAACTCACTTAACAAATTTCTCACTTAGCAACATAAATTTTGGGCTCAACTATGGTTGTAAGTTGAGGACTATCTATAGTTAAGAAATTATATAGTGACACTTAGGTTTTAGTTCCTAGAATGATTTCTAATGCCATATGCAGGACAATTTAGACTATCAGATCATTGCATTTTATATACCAGAGAACAAGCTAAAGAGGTCTCAAATGGAAGAACAAAAATGCAGATCATCCTGCAAGCGACCCTGACTCAACAGAAGAAGTAATCAGTCCTTCTTTTTTCAGGACCTTGCTTTCACTTTTTACTTTGAGGTTGTTGGATCATTTCCTATCCTCTGTCAGGCCTCAAAATACTGGAAGTAGGGTAGACATTGGTTTATAAGTTTTATTTATAAGTTTTATTTTCTTCTAGTATTTCCATGTTTTTATTCTAGATTTCCACTGTTTTAATATTTCTGGACATTTTAAAATCTCCCTACTTCTGAAACTGATGAATTTCAACTTTCATTAGACTAACTAGCATGCCAATCAACAGGAATATAAAGATTTAGAGCCACATTTTGCACGTATGCACATACACACAAATGCGCACACACAAACACTCACCAACTCTATATGAAGAGACATATCTGCATAGAACTATTATTCATTAAAGATTTTAGACTGCAATGAATACTGAATTTTTACACTTGTGAAATTGCTTAGGAGAAATTTAAGTGATAATATGATGTTTATTATTAACATACTAAAACTAGTTAGAAATATACCACTAGGATATTATGATATAATGAAAAGGGAGTTTCAAAATTAAAACCAGCAACATTCCATCTATGTAAATAAAAACTTATGTTCCCCAGAATCTCATTCTAATAACATCTCCTGCTGCCACATAGCCCAATGAGGAGCCAGGAAAAAGGAGCTATCCTGATTTTCCAAGACAAGTATATGAGTTCTATGGGTAATAGAAATATAAATACTAGACTAAAACAAAGAAACTCTCTCCATTTGATGTATTTAGAAAATTTTAAAATGGAATATATTAAAACCGAATTATTGGAAGTTAGAAATTGAGTATAGCATTATTTATAAACATGTGTTCTGTCTTTTAATTATATCACATACTACACATTTTAAAATGGTTAGCAGCATTGTAAAATATAAAAAGGGAGGTGGAACCTGTTCTACTAACAATATTCATTGATGAACTCACCAAATTGAATTTAATCCAGTGAAATTTAATTTTTTACAACAGTTTATTTTCTATTACCACAGTTTATACTATTAACTAATAATGCTGGGTAATATTGGGTAAGGTTTAAAAACTCCTATACTAGCTGCTTGGGGGAAAAATCTTCCCAGGATTCCTTCTGAAGTGCCTTTCTATATTGGATTGTTCTTGTATTATATATATAGTACTACAACTCTTGTGTCTGTAACCTTTAACTGGGTGAAACAATGCATCACAGTGCAACAACTTCTAAGCCAATGTACCTCAAAAGGGCTAACTTAGAGAATGTGTCCAAAATCTGGGTCCCATGTCACCCATGGGATTGAAACTTGACCACCCAGATGTTCAGTGAACTAGTACCACCCTAGCCCTTTGGAGGCTAAGTAGACTGGCTCTTCCTTTGGTTTCTGGAGATCAGATAGACTGGTCCTGCCCTAGCCTTCTGGAAGCTATATAGACTAGGGGTGTCAAACGCAATTTTATCGAGGGCCGCATCAGCATTGCGTTGCCCTTGGGGGGCCGGGTGGGTGTGACCTACTGGGTGGGCGTAGATGGAGTAGGTGTGTCCTACGGGGTGGGCGTGGCCAACTCTACATCGTTCGCATGCCTGTGGGGGCCTGGGCAGGAGTGGGACAGATCTGAGGGTCTCTGGCAGAAGGTGGTGGGACCAGGGCAAGTGCCAAGGCATGGTTCACTGGAGGAGCCTCACTGTTCCTCTCAGGCCATGTGGGAGGGGCTGGATGGTGGTGCGGGCTACCCGGAGCCCTGGGCCAGCAGAGGTCAAATGCCCAGCCTGGCCCTCGAGCACCCGCGGCACCAAGCCCAGCCCCACTTTCCCAAGGGGGAGCCCTTCTCCTCAAGGCTGCTGCTGCTGTGCTTGCTCTCCTTAGCCAGATTGTTCATGATGGGTACGAGGGCAAAGTCAAAGGGAGGCCCATTCCTTCTCCATGGGAGCAGACCCGGCTTTGTATCCAAAGCTTCCTTGGCAATAGGATGGGATAGGCCAGGAGGAGGGGGCAAGGGGATGGTGAAAGGGCAGCAGGGCAGGACTAAGGCAGGACTTCCCTCAGACCCTCCCTTTCCTTCTTTCCTTCCTTCCTAAGTACAGAGTGGTGGGAAAATATTTGAGATAAGGGAAGGAAAAAAACAGGCAAGAAACGCAGCTGGAGAGGTGTCACCCTTCGTGAGGAATGAAGAAATGCACCATCGCCTGGAAGTGGCCAGCACATGGCCCTCACCTACTTCACATATCTGGCTTGGTGGGCTCTGGGAGAAGGGATGCTATAAGCAGCATGAGAATCAACGTTACCTGCACAATGGCACCCAGCCCCTAGCCTGTCCGGTTTCGGCAGGCAGCGAGGCGCTCCTCTCACAGCGCCGAGAGGCTGAGCCAGGCAGTGCGAATCTGAAAAGAAGCACGACAACGCTCAGCCCCCAGCCTGCCCGGTCTCAGCAGGCAGCGGGGCACTCTACTCACAGTCTGAGAGGTTGAGCCGAGCAGTGTGAAGCTTGCCAGCTTTTTACCTTGCTGCCTGCTGAAACTGGGCAGGCTGGGGGCTAGGCAGCATTGCACTTCTCATCAGATTCGCACCACCCGGCTCAGCCTCTCAGCGCTGTGAGAGCGCCCAGCTGCCTGCCGAAACCCTTCCCCCGGAGCCCATCAAGCCAGATATGTGAAGTAGGCCAGGGCCATTTGCTGGCCACTTCCAGGCGATGGTGGATTTCTTCATTCCTCACAAAGGGTGACACCTCCCCAGCATGCACCCAGGAGGCGGGGCTGACGCGGCAGGGGCTGGTTCCTCGCTGTTTCCAGATGGGCTTGTGGAGCTAAGAGTGAATGTGTTTCAGCATAGATGGCCACCACAAAATTGTACATTGGCTCCCTCCCGGCTGGCCTGGACCAGGGCCAAGGCAGCAGGGGCCATTCCCTCACTATTTCCAGGATGGCTTCGCGGGCCACATGAAACCACTTCGCAGGCCTCATCCGGCCCCCGGGCCTTGTGTTTCACATGTCTGATATAGACCAATCACACCATCACCTACTGGAGTAAAATCAGTCAAGCTGGAAGGAAGTTGGAAGCTGCTCCCTCTCCTACTCTTTCCCCCTAGTTATTCTGTTTCTGTTTAGGTAAATATCTCTGAAACAATAACCCAATGGTTCAAGGGTTGTCTAGTAATCTTTTAAAGAGATTTTTCTTTGAATCCTTTCATATCTGAGATGAGGCCCATAGTCATCAATATTTGGATGAAGTTGATTTACTGCTAATTCTAAAATACTTACCTTGGTAGACTAGTAAGCACATAAACAAATTTTAAGATGAAGTGAGAGTCTTTGTATTTTTTTATATGTTCAATGTTTCATATGTTTTAATATAGGGATGTCTGTATTCTTTTACTTTAGGTATTATTGTTTTATTAATGCTATTTTGTTATTTTAGTTTCTATTATTATCTCATAAATATTTTGAAATACTTATGATTATTTAGTGGACTCCCCATTGCTGCATAAATATCCAGGTTGAAAAAGTTAATTTTACGTTACCCTGTTGCTTTCAGATACCAATCTTGCTACAAGATACAATGTTGCCATACAATGTTACCTCCTTTGCCATATTATAGTCTTGATATAGTCTTCTGCATACTAACCTCTTGTGTTCCCCTACACCTATCAAACACACCTCTCCATTCTTTTATATTATTTTTGCGTACACTGTTTTTAATTCATGTATCTTTTATATCTTCTAGCTTTTTATAATTTTTTAAATTTTTATTTTTACTCTAATCTATGTGCTTTTTGAATGACTGTACTCCACCTGTTTATGCTGTTTTATAATTATAATAAAGATTTGATAGTAGGCTGCCCAGATGAACATAATTCTGCGTGGCTTCACAAAATTAAAGAATAATGTTGAAATGTAATGTAAAAATTGTAGATTAACAATTTTTACATTACATTTCAACACGTGAAATAGAGCACGGTATCTTTAGAAGCAATGTGTGAAGCATGAATAATTAATATATAATTAATTCAGCTATCCCTTTGAGCACCCACGTCTGTGATTCTCAGTACATTAAGTGTTTCTTCATTTACACATGCAGGACATGTACTCAACCTGTTTGCATTGGCTTGTCTAGAGACCTCCTCCAATCTTTTCATTCCTTTCCTAATAGCATCAGCATCAGATGAATGATGGTAAGCTGCAGGCCCATTATGAATTCCTGCATGAACTCCAGTTGGAGATCCTCTGTAGATAAATATGCATAGTAATTTTCAGCATCTTAGGCCAGAATTACATGTTATGAATTTTTTAATTCATAAATTAATGAATGTGTTTCATTAATAAATACCGTTGACTAGGCTCTAGACCAGGCTTTTCATTCAACTTTACATCTTTTCCTTCTATTTTAAGATTTTCTTTTTGTTGCTGTATCTGATCAAAAATAGCATGGTAGTGTTCATATGGTCCTCGACCAGGAACAGGTAAAGGCACAATAGCTCCTCCCCCACCAAAATATTGAGCCTATGAATGTAAAAAGAAGTTCTCGTTTGCTCATCTTCACATTTATAGTAACTAGAAAAAATAATTTCATATAGAAAGATAGGAAATCCCAACCTTGATTTCACTACTTCCACCTATGCTGAGAACATTTCTCCATCCTTGCTCTCTGGCTCTGTTTATTCGTTCCATCTGAAGAAGAGGAGGAAAAATTAAAACTAGACTTTGAAATCCAATGGAAGTTCTGAAAACTGAACTTCATAATTAATGTTTAAAGTCCAACATTTTTACCCTTTCCTTTTCAAGTCTTCTCATTTGCTCAACCTTCATATAACTGATCTAAAAATTAATAATGTTTTTAATTAGTAGCAATCTAACTTATTTAACACCCACAATTAATCATAAGAATGTTGCCAATTTGTACAATCTGTCAAAAAAACCAAACCCAGAAATAGTAAAGCCTTCAATTTACCTGCTCACGCTGTTGTTTTTCCTCTAGCCTTTTCTTTTTAATTGCTTCCTGAAAAATGGAAAGTGATTTAAACTATGAATTATTAACATATTTCTGATTAGGATAGTAATGACACAAGGTATATTCACGTTTATAAATTGGAAATATTCTATTGTAAGGAAATAAGAAGGAAAGATTTTAAGATTTATTTATTGCTTTTAAAAGCTTCTTGCCTAATTTCCTGTTTCCTTGTCTATATACCTCAAACATTTTCCTCCTTTCGTCTAGTAGTTTTCCTTTCTTCAATGGAGGTGGGGGGCCCTGAATAAAAAGTGAAACTGCAAATTAGCAAGAATTTACATATTGCATACTGAGAATATGAAATCAATAATTTAAAATTAAACTTGACAATTATTGCTGTGGGCCTGATGCATATTTACTAATAAATAGATTGACTTTTTACAGATAAATTTGTACAGGACTATATTTTACAAAGTCATCTATATGTTTAGTTCTTAATGCTTTATTACTTTAATGTTATTTTAAATAGTAACTTATTATATTCCTCAATTATCTGTTAAATGTAATAAAAAAGATGGACAGTTGTATTTCACAAATTAAATATTAACAATTACTCCCTCAGATATGTAGGAGTATATGTAGTCTTTGACTTACAACCAGTTGCTTAGAAACCATTCAAAGTTATGACGGACCTTTGCAGAGCTACTTACAATCTGGATCTGATGTTTCAACAGCCAGGCTCCCCCCAGTCACATGCCACATTTTGGGACTTGACTGTATTTATGGCCATTTGCAGCATCCTACAGTCACACAACTTACAATTCCTCTGTAGAAAACTGATGTTTACTTCCAGGTTCTGGCAAAAAATGCCCATTGTGGACAATGGATTTGCTTAACAACCATAGCATTCCCTTAACAATCACATTTGCTTAATTGGTTAAATTGGGCATAATATGGTGACCCCCTTAACAACTGGCATGACTGTAATTCCGGGCTTAACTTTAGTCATTACCTGTACTTGCATTTTTAATAATAGGCAATACATCTTATAAAATGAGTAGCTTGCTTTGCTAAGCAATATTTATTTAAGACCATATTCTACAGTTTACAAATTAAAAAATTAACAAATAACAAATGGTTCTATCTTGTTTGTTTTTTTTAAAAAAAAAAAAAGCTTATAAGAGCCATGACATTTTTCTAAAATGTTGTTAAATAGAGATTACCATAGGTTTGCAAAAGTCAGCACTGAATCTATGTAAAAGTTTAACACAAAAGAAAGTACAGTATGTGTGAATATATAGAATATATAGAAAGTGTTAATACAACATTCTATTTCCACATGACTGAAAACAGAATTTCAAAAATCCTACTGATAATTAGGAAATATAATAAATTCATTTCAGATCATATATATATATATATACATACATATATACATACATACATACTGGTTGCAAATAACATAAAAGACAGACGAATGACTCCTGGGAATATCCATGGTACAAAATAAAAATGCGAACACCAGGAGAATATAAGACAGTTAAAAGTTTAGTAAAAACCTTAAAAACTTTTAAAAGCATACAATCATAGGGGCCAAGCTTTCGTCGGATCCTTCCGACATCCTCAGGGCACAAAGTCAATCAATGG